ATTTTCTATATTGGTAAGAGATTCTTTGCAAGTCAAAGAGTTACACCTATACATATTCAGACTGTGTACATTACAGTGCTATCAAAGAAAGGCACACAACAGAAACAGATGGAATCGTGCATTTTCCATACACTAGAAGACAAGACAAAGACACTAAAAGACAATCAAGAAAAATACTTAAAACAAACCATCCAAAGTGATATCAGACAACATTTTAAAGGTTGAAATTTAAACTGAACCTCATCCTTTAGCACACAGGTTGACCACCAGCCAAGAAGGGTCTCCACTTGAGGACAACCTGCTCAGCTACCCAGGCTCCTTCCACCCCCAAGGGCACAGGGTGCTGACTGCTGCCAGACTCCAGATTGCCACTCTGCCTTCTGAATACCATTGGCAGTTTCTCACTCAAATGTACCACGCTTAAATACAAACATCAAGGAACCCCATATTGATATTCACCACCCACAAGTGGCCTAATGAGTGACTAATATAGTGCCCTGCCAAAGGAAAGCTGTATATGGTCTACATCTAAGAAGCTCAGTGTCCCCACCTATGGCATTGACTTATTCTTAGCAATTCAGTTAATGCTGCTGCGATTCCTCTTATCTGTAATTGAGGGATTTTATTGCTCTCCTACAGAACTGTAAGAGCGCAATAAACTGCAAGCTACACCTCTGTTGTAGATGAGAGGACTTCTTGATGAGAATGATAGAATGGCTTAGGTTGGAGAAAACTTGAAAGATCATCTACTTCCAACCCCCTGCCATGGAATGGTTGCGGAGCAAGGCATGATTTCAGGCAACAAACTGTAGAACAAAAATAACTTTAAAAAACACTACACGGGCCAGGGACAGAGATGCAAACACAGCAACTCAGAACTGCTTCAGTGTTTTGGTTGGACTTTTGTTTAGTGATTCAATGATCATCTTCGTTCTGCAGCTCTGCTGTGAATCAGGCACTGGGCAGGGCACAACAAAAAGGCACATCCACATCTGCAGGAAGAACATGAGCTGCTCCCCTGCACAGAGGGTTCTCAGCTGCTTCCAAAGCAAAGCATTAGGGCAAGAAGCCTGCAACCAGTCTCACTGCAGCTGTAAAAATGCTATGTCTAAAAAAATTACATAGCACTTCTGATATTCAAAATTTCACAGTAAATTGCTCTAACAGCAAATAGAGCATTTATCTAATTTTAGGGCTATAACTTCATTGCTTTGATTGGTTCAGCAATTCCTTCTATCTATGAAAAGCAGACAACATTCCTACCAAGCCCTTACCCAGCCTGTTCCGTTCAGACACAGCATCTCATGCAAACATTCTGGGAGTTTTAGAGATTCCAGAATATCCAAATGGGAATCAGGACTACCTGTGCTCAACTCCATTTCAGAAGTAAATGATTCCTCTTGTTAATCTTGCTCTTTAACTAATTAAGAATATCCTGCTTGCACCAAGAAAACCTAGTGAACACTGCTGTATCTCTAAGTGGAGATAAAGAAAAACAAACCTATGCACCACGGGGCTTGAAAAGAACACATTAAAAAATACTTTCAAGCTATTACAGCAAATGGATAAGAATCAATAAATCCTGCACTTATCTAACAGCCAACTGAAGGTCAAGAACAGTTCTCTTTCAATGCGGTTATCACAAGAAATGTTGCACAAGCATCAGTACCTGGGATTAATTGATCACTAAATAACAACTAAAGGAGATGGCAATATATTTACCACACTTCCACCCTCAACATTGTTACTTCCATTAGGGGGAAAGCAATAGCAATAGCATAGCAACATTGTGAACAGCTAATAAGAAATTTCAATACGTGTGGGATTCAAAAGATACTTTGTCTCTAAATTTATGCCTATAAACATAAAAAAGGAGAAATTATTGGGACCAATTGTACGGATTTATTATACTTCTTCATTTCATGAAGTTCAATTAATGTAATACCTTCTATATTTCACCCTAAACCTCAATGCACCTGGAAGTAACTGTAGACAAGCTGTTCGAATTACGAAATAAGCACAGGTACACTCATACTCAAGATGGCAAAAAGTTACAAAGTATAGCAGAAGAAAAGCTACATCTGGGAGACTGAGGCTTTATTGCACTTTATGTAACTTTTGTTCTAGCAGTAACTCGTTCTCCTGCTCTCTCTTCCTTGTATTTTTGGCTTTGTGTAGGAAGATGCATTTGTCAGCCACCCCAAATAGAAAAATGGGGGTGTTAGTGATCTCGGTTAAACGGTTCCGGACCGGTGATTGAGATCTCTTCATTTGAAGTGCTGCCATCACATGTGTGCTTTTGAACCTTGTGGCTGCATCCCTTCCAAAACTGGGGGAGAGAGCAAAGGGGGCTGCAGGCACAGCTATCAGTAACATAACCCCCATGGAGGACTTTCTCCTATGCTTCCTTTTATAGGGATGGAATGCATTTTAGACTTATTTTCTTCTTTCCTTTTCCAACCTCTATTATGAGCAGGTGCAGAAGCTATCCCAAGTGAAGGGCATCACGACCAAGAAGTACAACCAAGAAAACCAACACACGTACATGTAAACCCACACTCTAATTAAACCAACTGTGCCACTATGCACAGAATACTCCATACAGCAATTCCACTTTGGGGGTTCAGCAGCAGACCCAAGTCACTTGTCAGCTTACAGAAAGGCAAAAACGTCAGCAGAAAAGCAGCCAGTAGAACAGTTGGAGTCTCATTTACAAAAGCGAGGGATATTAGCTAAACAAGAAACCTTTTGCTGAAAACTGTGACATGGCAGAAAACACAGCACTGCTATTTTATCATTTTTTAAATAAGCATACAGTTGCATTTTGCACAGTGAAGAAAAAAGTCAGCAGAATCTGTGCTTCACAAGTCCAACAGTGCCAGCAGACTTTTATCAAATTGAAGAGACAGAGGAAAGAAAAAAAATCAATACGTTTTTCCACGCAGTGACTGAGCTTTTCCAATCATCTTTTCAAGTGCATGAGAGATAAAAATCAGCTTTGGGTCTCAGCATCTGTGGAGGTGGTGACTGGGAGCTTAGTTATTCCTATTTATAGGCCCATCAGCTTATATTTTTCAGTCTCAAATTAAAATACAAACTTCCCTGACAGCAGGAAGGCCAACAAGTGTTTCTGAAAGGCACTGCACACCAGTCCCAATGTGTAGGTGGGAGCAGGCACAAAACCCAACATGCTCTGCAGATCCCACACACACCTGAGATACAAAAGCTGGGTTCAGCTACAGCCCAACTGAGAATCAACCAACCTCACTGCATCAAGGTAAACAGAACAAGAGAGAGGATAACTTGGTGTTGAAAAACTTCATGGAAATAGAGAATGGCTTAGGTTGGAGGGGACCTTAAAGTCCATCAAGTTGCAGCCCCTGCCACGGGCTGCATGCTCCCACCCCCAGCTCAGGCTCCCAGGGCCCATCTGTGGCTTTAGGCACCTTCAGGAATGGGGCACCCACAGATCTGGGCAGCACTGCTACAGCCTCACCACCCCATAGAGAATTTCTTCCTAAACTATTCAGTTTAAACCGATTCCCTTTTGTCCTATCGCTATTACACAGTGTAAAAATCCACTCCCCCTGCTTATAACACCCCTCAAGCACTAGAAAGCTGCAACGAGATCTCCCTAGCACCTTCTCTTTTCTAGACGGAACAACCCTCAGCCTTCCTTTGTAGTTGAGGTGCTCCAGCCCTCTGAGCACCTCACAGCCCTCCTCTAGACCCACTCCAACAGCTCCACATCACTGCTGTGCTGGGGGCCCCAGGCCTGGGCACAGCACTCCAGGTGTGGCCTTACAAGCTCACAGCAGCCTCGCTCCATTGCAGCTCCTCTACTTGAAGAGAGGCATCAACTTTAAGAGCAGGCAGGTTAGACAATAAAAAGGAGCACAACATTCGCCTTATTACAACAATTCTCTTTAAGAGCCACATTTACCTTAACCCACAGAGGACAGCAGAAAGCAGACAAACACCGCATACTGAGAGCAACATGAAGAAAATCAAGCCCCCCTTCACCCCTCCTCCTCCCCACAAACCCCAACGCCGGGCTCGCAGCCGCCTCACCTCCGCGATGTCATTTTGCCCGGCGGGTCGCGGTGCCCCCCACCGCCCCGCAGCCAGCTGCCGGTTCACATGTGGCCCCCAGCCCTCCTCAGCACAGCGCGGCGCGGTGTTCGCGGCCTACAGGCGCCCTGAGAGGAGCGCGAACAACTACGGCCTCAGAGCCCCGGAGCGCACGGAGCGCGGCGCGACCCGCCCTACGTCAGCGCTTACGTCATCACTGCGCGCCACTCCGCCTTACAGAAGGGATCCTTGCACTCCCGGACTTTAATTCCCAGCGTGCCCCGCGACTGGTGCGATGACGTCAGGCGCCACGCTCTCTTTAGGCCGCGGGTGGCCGGATGTAGGTCTCTTTCCCTCCCCGGAAGGTAAGAATGGCGGAGCCATGGAGCGCAGGGCTGTGGCTCGAGTGGGTGCTATCCGCCTCCATCCGCTCCTGGGAAGCTGCGCTGGGCTTGTGGTCTCGGCCTGGTGCCTGTAGGTCGGGCCGGGCGGCTGTTGGGGAGGGTTGTGTGTCTCCTGCTGAGCCGTGGCGGAGCGCTGAGTCTGGGCTGGGCCGCAGCCGGGGCCTTGCGTAGAGCTGTAGCCGGGGTTGGGCTGCTGTGCGGCGCTGGAGGAGCTGAGGGAGCAGAGTATAACGTGGCTCTCAGGGACAGGAGGGTGACTGTAGCCTTCTTGAATGTTTGCACCACAGGCTGCCTGCTAGGGGGTTGAGTGCAGTCGTTGAACTTAATAACAGCATTAGAGGGCAACTGAAATGTTAATGATTTTCACACTGTAGTGCTCTGCGTGGCTTTTAGCTCTGTGGTGTCTCCTTTTCCAATAACTATTAAAGGTGCTAAGAGCTCTCAGAATGGTATGAAGGACAATCTTACGGTTTTCTGGGTTTGGTATCTCAGGTGCTTCTTTGCATGCTTTGTAATCATTTCTCTGCAGTTTCTGGTTTGTTTATGTCTGCAGATGGCGGGTGAGAAGAAGGCAGGCGAAAAGAAGGCAGGTGAGAAGAAGCCGGCCCAGAAGAAGGTAGGAGAGAAGAAACCTGCTGACAAGAAGCCAGTTGAGAAGAAGGCAGGCCAGAAGAAAGCGCGTGAGAAGATAAAGAAGCCTAAAAAGTATCATGCCAGCCGCAACCCAGTTCTGGCCCGGGGTATTGGGAAATACTCCCGGTCAGCCATGTATGCCAGAAAAGCATTGTACAAACGCAAATACACTGCTCCAGAAACAAAGGTATGGATGATAAATACCAAGTTTATGTAATTGTGCTGTTTGGCCACTTCTTGTGGTGACTGGTTTGAAGTTTCATTTATTTTCCCTTTTCTTTGTTTACAGATAGAAAAGAAAAAGAAAGAGAAGCCACGTGCAACTGTCATCAAACCAGTTGGCGGAGACAAGAATGGAGGCAGCCGTGTGGTTAAAGTCCGCAAAATGGTAAGGAAAAGAGTTGAAATGCTCACAGTGTAAAGCTGTAGCATGTAATGTGTTAGTAGATGCTGTGTTTCTTAGCAGGGCAATTAGTTGTTTAGAAAACAGTGTTTCAGTGTTTTCCTGAAGTACTGGTTGCTGCTGAAGCTTCTTTCTAGAGAGATCATCTTTAAAGAACAAGTTATCTCTTAGAAAAGGAGTCTGCAGTGAAAACATTTTATCTTGTGGATTACAGGGTGCTACACTTTGTTCCTCTTCTTTCTAGCCTCGCTACTATCCGACTGAGGATGTTCCTCGCAAGCTTTTGAGTCATGGCAAAAAGCCATTTTCTCAACACAAGAGGAGGCTGCGGGCTTCTATTACTCCAGGAACTGTTCTGATCCTCCTGACTGGACGTCACAGAGGCAAGGTAACTGGGAACTTCTGGTGCTCTTGTCCACCTTGGCTTACATAGTGACTTTGCAGCACTTCTGTGCAGGAAATGTTTTGACTGTGTAGGATTATCTTGAATTTCTAGCTGATTTCATGGGATGCTGCTCAGCCACTGGATGCAGATCTGCAAGTGCAATTGCAATCTTTCTAGATGGTTTTTTCATCCTGTCTTTAAGGGAAAGCCTTCTGTACAGAGCTGGAAGTTAAAACAGGCTAATCCAGCTGATTATACAATGCTAAAGGAGATTTGCTGCAACTCAAAAAACTACAGGTGCTTGTCATGTCAATTTTGCACTGCAGAATAGCAGGGCTGGTGCCTGTATTACTCTTGCAACAAGGCCAGAACTTTGGCTTGCTGTTACAGAGAAAGAATTATGCATTTTCTTGAATTCATCACTTTCATTCTGTGGTAGCTCTGTCAAAGCTATACTCTGACAAATGTTGGTAGCCCTGCTCCTGTGGTGTTTGTTTCTTATGTAGCACAGCTGCATCCATGCTTGCCTGCTTCTTCATGTATGTACCAACAGCACAGACTGAATGTAGACATGGTTTCAGTTTGGTTGCAGTATTTCTGAAATGTCAGAGGAGGTATAATGCTGAAACCTGAGGACTAATGTCACATCTATCTCTTTTCAGCGTGTTGTCTTTCTGAAGCAGCTTGGTACTGGCCTGTTGCTTGTTACAGGTAAGAAAACAAAAATATTTATTTTTTAGTCTGAATTTGTGTCTGGAATTAGTTGTGCTGACCTGTATTAGGATTTAGCATGCTATGTGTTTGTGTAACTGTGTTTAATTATGTTTTGAGATTTTTCAGGGAGGTGAGTGGGAGTTAGTTAAGCTTCAGTATCTGCATCCCTGGAAGAGATCAGGAAGTATTTTTTTACTTATGAAGAGGCAGTGAGGAAAGGTTTTGTTGGTTGTTCTGATCTTCAGCTGTAAGCACACATAGACCTCAAAAATGCCACTTAAAAATGGTGACTGTTGCCTGTCTTTCCTCTGCCTTTAGGACCTCTGGTTGTCAACCGTGTTCCTCTGCGTAGGGCCCACCAGAAATTTGTTATTGCTACATCTACAAAGGTTGATATCTCCGGAGTGAAAATTCCCAAACATCTCACTGATGCATACTTTAAGAAGAAGAAGCTGCGTAAGCCCAAGCACCAGGAAGGCGAGATCTTTGATACTGAAAAAGAAGTAAGGAACATGACTGCTTATTCTTTGTGAATGTCCTTGTTATTTAAAGCCAGGCTGGAAGGGGAAATCCCATGAAACAAATTGACAGTGGTCCATAATAGAGAAAGAGAATGCAATTAAAATGAGCATATGCAGTAGCATTGAGATAAGCTCCTTTTAAACTTGGGGATTGTTTTCTACTTCTCCCTTAGCTGGACAACAGCAGTGATTATTCTAGTTGAATGCCTTTCTTGACCAAGAAACACCTTTGCTGTTTTGATACTGCCAACAGCATGCTGCTGGCTCCAGCTATCTGCAACATAAGCCAAACAGTGGCTTCAGTTCTCTCTGCCACCTCCGGTCTCCTACTGCCTGTCCCATATTTAGAACAAGTTGAGGAAAGATTTCCTGAAAATGCCAGAACTCAGGGTTTGCCCTGCATTGTCTCTAGAAGAATCTGAAGTTACTCTGTAGGATTTTAATGCTATTCTTTGTACTTTCTAGAAATATGAAATAACGGAGCAACGTAAGACAGACCAGAAAGCAGTGGATTCCCAGATCCTTGCACGAATCAAGAAGGTGCCTCAGCTCCGTGGGTACCTGCGCTCCACATTCTCTCTCTCAAATGGAGTCTATCCTCACAAATTGGTGTTCTAAGTGTTCTGAAAGCACCACATTAAATTTGAGAGGAAAATAGCAAGGATTTCTGGTGTCTTCATTGCATTCCATAATTGGATGTGTTGCATTAATCTGTCAGTGCAAATTATTTAAAGGATTGGAGTACAGCTTGTGGTAGGAAATTGAGAGACTACATGCAGATGTCTAGAATTGAACAAGTGCATACGTCTGGGGCTTTGTGGTGCTTTATTTTGTGGGATTTCTTTTGGTAAGGGTTTTTTGGGGATGGAGATGTTCCCTTCTGTTAATACCAGTAGTGTGTTTATTTAAACAAGCACTTGAATTTCAAATAGTTTTAACCATAAATGAGTTGCAGGGGGGGAAAAAAGTTTTGGGAAACAATATAAACGCTGGGTTTACTTAACCCTTCAGGACACATTTGAAAATAAACATCCAGCTCAATGCCTCTGCTGGTGTAGTTCTCTGTGTCTTAATTGCTGAAATTTTCTGAGTCTGTGAAGAACTAGGTTGTAGCAGCACCCCACTGCTAGGTAACTTATTAGCATTTTAAAGTTTGGATGCAGCTTTGTTCAAATGGCATTTCTGGTGAACTGCTTTGATCCATCAATCACTACATAAACCTTGACAAATACAGCAACTTCTTAGAGGCCTTTCTGGAGCTACGCCTTGCTTTTCTTAAGTAGGAACACCAGAGTATTCTAAAGTGAGTTTTGTAGGGTTTAATTACCCAATGCTTGCTTGTTCTTTATTTGTAGGCTCTAACATCCTTAGTTGTGAAGCAAGAATCCTTGCCACTGCAGTACCTGCTTAGATCAGGGAGTAAAAGTATGTTTTTTAATTCTGTAATCTCAGAAATAAATTAAAAAGCTTCAGTGAAAGGCAAGTGTGTTTCTCTCCTGGGCAGCTTAGAGTTTCAGTGAACTTCCCAATCTTAGCAACTGGCAGAAAGAGCTAGAGAAAGTTCATCCTGTCTGCTTTCTCTGTTGAGGTCAGTTACCAAATACCTGGAAAAAAATGCTTAGATAGTAATAGGTCTGTTCTTACAAAAAGTGAGGATGTACATATTAACAAATCTGGCATGCTTGAGATCTTTCTTAGCCAGACTTTTGCAGGAAATGAGGCTTATATAACTGCGCCATCTGTTTTCCCATTAATTCCTAGAGGAAAGTAGCCAGTGGGGTCAAACTTGACAGGGAGTCAAGATTTCATGAAATTCATACAAGCTTCATGAAAAGAGGCTAGAAAAGGGAGTGAGACAGCCTTCACTGAGGTGCAAGGCTGCAGCATGTCACATAGTAGTCTCAAATGCATTGAGGGGAAGAACAGGGTCTAGATTTGTGGACAATACCTGTCTCTGGATTCTCATAGATCAGAGACTGTAATTCTTTCTATAGCTAATGCTGGCTGGTGTTAGAATACAGAGGCACTGATTGTCCTTCCACCATCTTCCTCTTTAATTAAATTTAATTTCAGTGTGCTTCAGCAGAGGGAGCCAATGAGCAAGCTTTGTCCAAATGCAGCATGCACTCTTGTGCTGCTGACTGGCTGTTTCATGATTATCTGTGCCAGGTTCTGCCCCGTGCTGCTCCTGGAAGATGGTCTTTATTTTTCACTGTCATCAAAGCAATGTTTGTGATGAGTCGCATCTTCTGTTGTATGTGGTTTGGTGGATGATGGTCATAGTTAGAGGCTTTTAAATTGATGTGAGATTTTACAGCACTGATGGGGCTGGCTCTGTTAGTATAAATCAACTAGAAAGACATGGAAGTGTTGCATGCATCTCACTGCTAGTGCTAAAGTAAGTTAGCTGGTACTACTGAAGGAAGCAAAGCAATATGCTTACAAATCTTGCTTAAAGAAAGATTGTACACAGGGGTACTTAAATGGGAAAAGGGTAAAAACAAAGCAGACCTTGATCAATAAAGTCTGTAGCTCCATGTGATGTTGCAAAGTATGCAAACCAACATACAGTTGCACTCTAAGGAAGAAGTTAAGAGGTGTTCCTGCTTCACTCATCCCCCTTTTGGAATGGGGAAGCTGTAGTAAGGAAATAGCTATGTGGGTTAGTCTAAGGAAACAAATCATTTAGATACAATAGTCTTTTCTATAATTATGATTTACTTTGACACATTCCTCACATGTGTATCAATCAACATGAAATTTCTATTAGACCCATTAATCTTGTTTATTGAATAGGGAGGCTCTTGATTCTCAATGTACTGTCAGGATGTGAGTTGGTAATGTAATTGTTGTCTTACGTACAGAGAAATGGTCTCAGGTACTCCTGCCTCCTTTGTCCCAGTACTCTCACTTGTCTGGGGGGTGAACCAGGAGCTAAACAAGCTTGTAAGAGTTTTTGCAAGGTGGGGGGCGGGGGGGGAGAGGGAGGAATGAGGGAATGAGTATTTCCTTTGGAGATATAAACTAGCACAAAGGGGTGTGGGAGCAGAGGCACTAGCTGTTAATACCAAATCATGCTCTTACTGTGCCAAGCAACTCAGGCTTCAAATCAGAAAAAGGGGAACAGCAAAACCCTCATTTTTCATAAGGAAAAATAGCCAGTGAATAGCTGTGATTTGTTTTGCACTTAACCTCCAAAATATTTTCCCTGAGTTCTGTGAAATCAGCCATTTTTTTGAGGTGATTTAAGGTGGGGGATGGAAAAGAAGAATTAATGACAACTGTACAGATATCCAAGTGAGAAGCAGTGTCAGTATTAGAAGGATTTTTTTCAATCTAGATAATATCATCTGCTACCTGAAAAGTACATCCACCAAATAAAGAGCTTTTGTGTGCATTCTTGCTGTCCCACAGCTTTTCTCATTCTGAGCATGTAAACAGTTCTGCGTTCCTGGCTAGCTGAGTCATTGCTTTTCACTGAGCATCTGCCACAGAAGAAGCTAGAGACATCCAAAGCCTCAGTCACCCAATCAAAAGTGCTGGAGATGTGCAGGTCCAAAAATAGTGACAGACTCAACCACAGCAGCACTTCATTAGCATCAAATGTGCTCTTTGCCTCTTTGCTTCAGCTGCCTAATAAAGTGATATGTAATTATAATAAAGCATCCTTATGAGAGGAAAGAGAGAGGGATATAGGGTTTCTCAGAGAATTGGTAATACGTTGTGATGCCTTACAATCTATGAGCACCTGTTTTTACCTGTTAGCTGCCTCTAATGGCAGTGAAATGGCATGGTGAGTTAAGTCCAGTCCACAGAGTCTTCCTGCTGCTGTGCTGGCTGGCAGTTTAAAAAGCTTCACTTCTGGAAGTTAGTGTAAACTGAAGCTTAATTGCAAGGTAAAGTACTTTCAAGTGGAAGGTTTGTGAAGAATGCTACCTTTTGGTATTTCAGGTTTGACATGCTTGTTTTCAACCTTAAGATATGCTGCTATGGCTGGAGTGCTTTTACAGGACTGCTGTCTGCAGTCTTTTGGCCAGGTGTTGAGACTCCATTTCCTTGCTGACTAAACCAGAAGCAATTACATCTTCATCCATTTTGTCAGTCCTGTGTGATCTAAAGGTTTTTCACTTACTTGACAGATGCACTTGGGATGCAATTGTTTTTAAAATCAAGGCTTTCAGATATCACCAAGGGCTGTACATGGTATCCTACTGTTCAGAAGGCTCACTTTCATATGAGAAAATAAAATACAAAGATGAAATGTACAAAAATAGTCCTAAAGAATAAGTCTATGTCTTTTATATGCAAGGAAGGATGATTATTTTTCAGAACAAACTAATATGAAGGCTCTAAAAAGAATGCATGTATTTCATGACAGATGTTTTGTTAAAACCAATATTCAAATTACTGGTGTAAATGTCCTGCTAAGCTGACATGAAGATCTGCTTCATGGAATTTTGTAGAAGCTGGTGGGTAATCGTGACTGTTCTCCTTAAAATAAGCATGAAAAATAAACACCCCTCTGGAATCAGAGAGCTGAAACAACAGCAACTCAAATGACAGACACACGGCAAAACTTCTGTACATTGCACATTATCCACATGGTTTCCCTCTGGACTAATGCAGAAAGTGCAAAAAGGGCATTTGAAATGGAGAGCTTTGCATTTGTCTGAGAGAAAAGAAGCAAACATACATACAGTAGGGACACAAAGGGTGAAAAACGAAAACTGCATTTGAGAATGCTTTTTTGTGAAAATACTGGCTTTGGTCTAAGTACTGTGCACAAAAATCTGTGGTTCATTTAATCCAATACTTTTGGAAAGAGTATTTTTCCATACTTTGTAAGTAAGCTTCATTGAGGCAATGCCTCGCATCATCACATAATTGTCTTCTAACACATGCAACCTACTAATCTCCAAACTGGTTAACAGCTTGAATCCAAAAATAGAAATAATACAAACAACGTCAAAAATTATGTAGTTGGGCTTACCTGAAATGACACCTGATTGCACAAGCACCTGCATAGGGTGTCTCAGCATGAGCCAGGCTGTCTCCTGGGGATTTATAAGAACAACCATTACAATTTCTATCATTCTTTCCATCCTGTCATCTTGAGCTACAACTTTTCATGCCATTCCACTGGCTAGCACTCTATGCCTGGCTAGACTAGATAATCAAGCCCAAGGAATTGCTTTTTTGTGTGTGTCATGCACAATCCATAGTCATTTGGTAACAGCCTGGAAGAATGGAGCACTGAGCACAATACACATATAACATGGTCACTGTTTTGGATACAAAAGGTTGGGCTGATGTTGTCTGTCTGTGAACCAGTAATCTGATGAAGGCAGTGATGCTGTATAGCCCTCCAAATAGTTGGTTGGCTTTGATGACTGACAGAGTGCTGCTCTCAATTCTTCCATTGACTGCTCATAGAGTTATTTTACTTGAAGGGCAATTAACCATTCTTCACTGTTTATCTGCAGGCCACTTGTGATGCTCTTTTTAAAGAAATACAGCTATGTTGTTAAAGTCAAGGATTCATAAAGGCATTCCAGAAAAGACTGATATTACCCATCAAAATCAGGATTTTAGTAGTGCTTGATGTTCCACTGCAGCATTTATAAACTCAACTCTACAATAATACAGAGAAACTGTCTTGCCTGTAGCGGCATGAAAAGATTTCCAACATTCCAGGCCTCATCTGGGGGCCAGTCCATTGCAAGTCTGTGGAATGATGAATTATTTGGCCTTTACTGGCTTATGCCATCTGGCTGTAAGGAACAGAGGGAAAAACAGGTGAGTCATAGTGAGCAGAGCAAGGCTTGCACCTCTCAGAAATCAGCAATATCCCCTCACTAAAAAAAAAAAAAAGAAAAAAACACAATAGAAATCTATACCTTTTTTTGATCGTTTCCCTCATTTATATCCCATCAAGTTGCTCACTGCTGTGACTTTGTTGCATAACAGTTCTTACTCTTCTTTTAAAAGTAGATTATTGGCTGGAAAATATAGGAAAGAGATACTGAAAATAACAGAAAGAAAGGAAGGGGAGGCAGACACCAAAGGAAGAGCATCTTTGGAGTTCTGGGCACTTACAGCTGCAAAACAACACCATGCAGAGAGCAAAATTGCTCTCCCCAGAGAAGGCATTCCAATTTGCACTGTGTGGATTCAGTTCTCAATTAGTGGCTTTCAATTTTAGTTTGTTTTGAATGCCTGTCACCATTGAAGAGAAAATTAGTACAGTGAACAGCATTTTCTCAGGCCAGGGATTCACTGACCTGGGTTCCTATTCTTAGGAAAAAGGGTAGTTAGAGCTGCAGTGTCTGTAAAAACCTGCTAATTAAGACTTCACAGGATTTTGGAACTGATCTGTGAATTTCAAATAGAAGACAAATGTACAAAAATCATCTCATTTAAACTCCTCATTTAAAATCCTGTTTTGGCTCTTTCTTTTGTGCCCTGTTGTTGTAGACTCTCTAGTCACTATTTTTTAACATCCTTGCAAGTTGTACCTTATTTGCAGGTGTGCTCATGGAAGGCAACTTACTTTTAGAAGAATGAAATGTAATGAGTTGTGAATGTTATTCTCAACATTGCTGTCTAGTCATAGGCAGATGAATAGATTTTGCAACAGGATTGGCTTGTCTAGTGCATTGCTAAACCCTCTGCTAGCAGAGATCCCACGTCAGGAGGTGATCCAGTCCCATGCTGAACACACCAATGAGAAAGGCTTCCTGATATCTCCTCAGCAGGGGTGTAAGCTCACAACGTTCTGTTCTGTCCAGCAGTTTATTTCTTCTCTCTTTGCTTCAGTCTTCCACATATTTATTGCAATGTCTCCTCTCTGCCTTCTCTTATCCAGGTTAAACATACCAAATCCTTTCAAGCCTTCCTCACAAGCTGTATTTTCAAGTTGCATGATTGCTCTCATCAAGGCTTTCTCCAGTCCATTCACAGACCTCTTGAAAAGCAGAGGTTGATTCCAAATTCAGCCATTCAGACAATTCTCCATGGTCAGTTCTTAAGTGGTTCTGTTCTGCACCTATAAAACATTTCAGTAAGATTTTGGTTTTGAATGAAGCTTACAGCTGCTACAGAAGTACAGATACAAGTATTACATATAAATTCTTGCTAGTAATAGTAATCTCAGCTTTCCACCCACTTACAATTCATACATTTCATTTTGCTCTATTTATTATATCTGTGTTAAATTCTCAGTGTCAAAATATTCCTGACCTCACTGTATGATGAATTTAGATTGAGATAAATGAATGAAATTAAGCTAGCCTAATATTTATGTTTTCCTAGATAGTTTGACTTTCTGGAATACCAACAAGGAACGAAAACTGACAATTTATTTTACTCCCAAGGTACTTCCTGTAGGAAGGAGAAGATGGTTATGAACAAGAAATGCCTTTTAGTGTCTAAAGAGGGCTGTAAGAAAGAACGGGACAGACTCTTTAGCAAGATCTGTTGGGATAGGACAAGGGGAAATGGCTTCAAACTAGAAGACGGGAGGTTTAGATTGGATATAAGGAAGAAGTTTTTACAATAAGCTTGCTGAGGCACTAGCACAAGTGAGGGAGACTTCCCAGGGCAGCATGTGGGTGTCTGGCTACAGGAAGTGAGAGCCGCCCTTAGCACCTGCAAGTACAACCTATGGTGCTTCCACACCTCATGATGCAGCTGCTATCCCCGTGCTTCAGGTTTCCATCAGACTTTAGTGATGTGAACATCCTTCTCCTCCCCCAGGAAATCTGATGGCAGGTTTGACAACATGCTTCAATCAGTGTTGAGTGAACATTTCAGGGAATCTAATGAATCAGACACAAACCTTGGCAGATGGCCGCACCCATCTCCTGCAGGACTCAGTGACAGGGAGGTGACATCCTGTTTGTGAGCAGGGGCACAGTGCTGTGACAGCAGCACGATCCAGAGCAGAGGTTAATGCACTCATTTTCTGCACAGTGCATTCAGGATGTCTTTACATTTTAAGTTCCCTGAAAATACAATGTGAAGTAAAACAGTTTGTGCTTAATGTGGAGAAGGAAAAGCTACTGAATTTAAATACCTTAAAGCTCTCTCTTTAACTGTTCCATTCTTATTTGTTGACTATCAAAGATTCAAAATTACAGTATCAGCCTGTGACTGCAAGTGGAACTTATACTAATTTTGCAAAAATTAAAACTGATGTCTTTAAACATACAAAAAAAATGTTAGACATTTTAGATGTCTGCCATGGGACAAAGGACAGCTTTGAGTAACAAGGAAATGCTCCTTGTAATAAAAGCTGTTGCTACATCAGTAAATGGAATTCTTTCTTGTTGTCAGTGAATAATTCTCATACACTGAGATTTGAAGAATTAATATTTCAGGCAATTTGCATGGAAAAATGACTGAAATACAAATGTAGAAACTCTATTCCTTGAGAACTGAAACACTTTTTGTTCCAAGAGTTTTATATAAAACTTGATGTAGAATAAGCAGTAAATACTAAGCTAGATAAACTTTCAGTGAAAGATGTATTTTGGCTTTGTGTCTAAGTATTAGCCATTCCTCTCTGCAGACCACTTCCAGCATTATGACAGCATAATGGTTCTCCTCCCTTCTGCAAAAGGAAGAAAACACCACAGCTTCTGAAACCTGCATTGGTCCAAAAAAATGGCATTTTTGTGAAATCCCCAGATCTCAGTCAAACTCTTCAGGATTTGGACAGTTTAACATCACATGCACTGAAAAATGCTTTAGAAAGTGGCCCTTGTAATAATTTGTATGAATTACATAAATCCACCTTGTCACATTTGTATTTTTACAGCGTTAAACAGAATATTGTGGCAGACTTTTTTTCACTTACTTTTTTTCCTCATTTTATTGCACCAGTTTTGAGGGAGGTTGAATTTTAAAGCAGTACCGAATAGCTGTATTTAAAACCTACCTATTTTGGGGTATTAATAATGAGTCTTCTGAGACATTACAGATTCAGAAATTCAGGACAACCGCGAAGGGATCTGTTCATCTCTCAGCCACTCTTCCTCAGTGATGGGCAGCATTTAAATGCTTCCCACCATAAGGCACTACTGATGTCAAAATCAGAAATAAAATATTCTCCCTGTCTTCAGCTGCTGGAACAAAACAAAAAGGCTTCAATTACAGTAGCAGAAATTCAATTAAGCATCAGGAAATTCCCTAAAAGTAATTACAGTTGAACAGTAGAAGAGGCTGCAGTCGGACTCTTGACTTTGGATGGGACAAGAATGTGCCACAAATCATGTAATCACAGCTTAGGTCATAGCACTGGATTACATGATTTCTAAGAAAACCTTCTAGCATCACGATTATGGTTCTATGATTTACAATTGTTTCATGTCCAGGCTGTTTGTGAGCTAGGTAAGTCATACTCATTTTTCATACATTAAAATTGTCCTCACTTATATTGCTATTTGTATTTCCCTCGTCAATCCTACTTTACCACCAGTCAGTCTCCTTCAGTGATCATTGCTAATGTATCAAAATGAGTGCCCTGCCAGTGCTCCTCCAACCAGACCCAGCTGCAGACTGCTGACCCATCTGCTTGAAAAATAATTAAAGCAAACAACTGATTTTCTGTACAAACCTATTTACAAGTCAAGGATTTCATTTCTTCACCTCAAGGATTTATGTCACAAAGCTATTCTTGTCTTTTTCTAAGTCATATCATCTCCTGTAATGTAGTACAAGTCTTCTTTGTAGTCATTGCAGTACGCCTCTGAATGCCACATCGAAGTTACACTGGCTGACATTTTCTGGTGACACGCAGAACAAAAATAATATTTCTTTTCACTAGATTATACAAGATTTTCTGCACCAGATGCCAGGCAAACAGTATTAGATTCACAGAATTCATTACACAACCACGGCCTTAGTACTGAACATATCATCTATAAAGCTATGTCAGCACTCCTTGCTATGTAAGCTCATACATCATACAGTGGTGGGCATGTAAATCTTACATTTACCAGTGATTACTTCACTAAACCATGCTGAGGCAGGGTAGGACACAATTCTCAACATTATCATAGAGCATGCCAGTGCCTTACCACCCTTACTGTAAAAACTTCTTCCTTATATCCAATCTAAATTTCCTTTTTTTTAGTTTGAAACCATTTCCCCTTGTCCTTTCACACAGACCCTGCTAAAGAGTCTGTCTCCTTCTTTCTTATAACCCCCCTCAGGTACTGAAAGGCAGCTCTCAGGCCTCCCCAAGACCTGGCACTAGATAAATTCAGTAACTGGTATTTCACTTCAAATTGTCAGATCAAATACTTCAAAATTCAGGAGGAAAAAACAAACAAACCAACCCTCAAAGATCTATGAAACAGCAAACAGAAGTTCACTTTGGAATGTCTTCCCATAAAAAAAAAAGAATATGAAAAGGGATTTCTGGAATGCAGACATCATCTCCAGCTCTCAGTGAAGCAGCCTGCTTGTCTCTCAGGAGCAGCTCAGGTTACTGACCTGACACACAAACACATGGAGCAGGATCCTCAGTGCCAAAGAGGTTTGCCAAGCCCCAGACCAATGACGAAGCACAGCCTCTGGCTGGTGTATAACTCAGCCACGCACCTCTCTCTGCACTTAGCCCAGCATGAGCGCATCCAGAGTTACCCATACCTCTCTTGTAGCTCTGAGTCAGCTCTTTATTCAAAAACAAGACCTTGGTTTGTATTTCAAAGCAATTAGTGGATTGAATCGACTGCTTCTCCATCTGGGAGCTGCTGTGACAACCCTATTCCTCCAGGGTAAAGCAGTCCATAAAGCCCTGGAAGGAGCATGTGAGAGCTGGAGACAAAGAATTTTCAGTCTGAGGTTACCCAGAACAACAGTTGCACCCAAAACCTGTCTACCTCTAGAAAACATGGCAAATCCTTCCTGTTGACAAGCCTCTCTGGTCTGAGTGTTGCCTGTGAACATCTTCTTTTACTCCCAGCTCTGCTGTCTGTATTGATTTTGCAGTAGATGTACCAAGTGGTACCATTATAGTATTAGAAAATTTAAAGAGAGAATTTTTTCCAGTGTACCAGTTATATGTATATATACTTTTTCTTTCTCTATTCTTGTCTCATACGAATGAATGAAAACAATATAAAACTCCTACTCTGGTAACAAAACAACACCACCAGTCACTATCTCGTGGTGAAATATTGTGACTAATCTGAGCTCAGCAGCTTTCCCATTCCTTTGAGGAGACCTTGCGAGCACAGCTTATCTCACCAGCCAGCACTCAGCTGCCACGTCCCACCTGCCATCAGATCTTCAGACCTCAGCATTCTAAGTACTGGGAGGGCTCCTGGGGGAGGATGGGGCGGATTTCATGTCTGTGGGTACGTCCATCTGCAGCCGTGGTTCTCTGTGTCATGCCTTGACTGAAAAGAACAGATGCCCACCACAGTCTCTCTCTCTTACAAAAGCCTTTGATACCAAATCTCCCTGTTCAAAAATGAGACTCTCCAGTTCAAAGCGACGTAGGTTGCTCCAAAAGTAATGCCTCTTAATTATTTCTCTGGAAATAATTAAGAGCAGAATAACACCGGTAGAGCCACATTCTCAGCTACAAAACGTGATTTTTTAACATAGTCACCACTATTACCTGTGCATTTTTGGCAATGATGAACAATGTCGTGCTCATACAAATCTGCATCAGCAGAGGTGACCCATAAAAGCACCGCTCACCCCTCACTGTGCTCACATCTACTGTTGGGTCTCCATAAACGTCGATGAATATCAGCGGGCACCATTTTTTCCACATGGAGGAATTCAGTTCCACACCTTTGCTTCACGCACACTTCCACGCCAGACGCCATTTTGTCTTGGGCTGAGGGTCTGAGCCCAAGGGTATGAAATCAGAGCAATGGAAATAGGGCAGGTCACACAACGGTGCCCAAATGAGGGAAGAAAAGGTTCATTTTTCTTCGCGTCTCCCATTCTCCACATGCACTGCGGCGTTTCCTTGGCACCCACTGCCACGTTCACCACACAGATAAACGGATTGAGGGCTGCTCCCCCGGGCTCGGGGGGCTCTGGGCAGTGAGGGAAACTCTGAGGGGCGGAATTCTGAGTGGACAGCGCTGAGGGAGGCAGCAGTCAGTGAGAAGAGCGGTAACCACGCGCCGGGCTGAGGGGCGACCGCCCTCACAGCGACTGAGGCGACCGGCGCACGGGGGGAGGCGCCGTCCCTGAGGGCGGGGCGCGGGACGGGACGCTGAGGGGCGCTGCCCTGAGGGCGGGGCGGGGCGCGGCGCTGAGCGGAGCCGCCGGGGCGGCGGCGGGGACGGGCTCTGTGGGGAGCCGCCCCCGGGGGCGGGGTGCAGGGCGCCGGGGCGGCACCGAGGGGCGCCGAGAGCGGACCCCGGCGGGGCTGGGTGAGGGGGGTTGGGTGTATTGTTCCCCGCGCGGTGCATGCCGGGCCCGCCTCAGCCCCCAACATGGCGTCGCGCTGTCACCTGTGTGTGTGAGGAGGGAGCGGGACGCGGCGGCGGCGGGCGGGCACGGCGGCTCCCGGCGCTTCCCGGCCCGCTGGCGCCGCGGTGGCAACGCGGTGGCAACGCGCCGCGCCTCGCTGCTCCCTACCGCGCTCCGGCTGTCCGCCGGGGATCCCCCTGCCCCCGCCCTGCCCCCGCCATGGGGGGGTAGCGGCGGCCGCCTCCCCTCAGCCCTGCGGAGCCCCAGCGCCGCCCGCGCCATGGGCTCACCGGCGGCCGCTTCGGCGGCGGCGACGGCGGCCGGCGACTCGGCGCAGTGGCTGTCGGTGAAGGAGGAGACCATCTTCCTGCACGACGGGCTGATCCGGGTCACCGACCTGGCCGAGCTGCCCAGCGAGATCGTCGGGGTGGCGGAGCCCGGGGACACCGAGCTGGAGGTGAGGGGGGGCTCCCGGCCGAGCGGGATGGCGGGGCGCCGGGTGCGCGCCGTGCTGCGGGGCTGGCGGCCGCCCGGCTCCGAGGCCTGTGGGGTTTATCGCGAACGGTGGTGGAACGGAGCTGGGCAGGAGGACGGCGGCGGTGAAGATGGAGGGTGAAGCGTCTCCTGGGTGGGG